TACGACCCGCTCTTTTACGACCTGTTTGCTCGATATTGGGACCACGAAGACGCTCTATGCTCATGGCTACGGCAGTGATCGCAGTGTTCGTATACTAGTAGACCTTATTTCCAAGCCATCAGTGTAGCGATTAGCGAATCGAATCGCGTAGATGTCACGCGCCGACAAGAACTAGGCATTACAAAAAGAATTGACATCATTGCATTATTGTATGTCATATATATATCAAGTACACGAGCGAACGACGAAGATGTGGCTCCTTCAAGCATCGTAAAGACACGACGGATGTGAAGTTTTTAGGAGCTCATAACTCGATCATAATCTCATTCTACAATTTGCCTCGCCTCGCACAGTTCGTTCCTTCCCCGCTTCCTCCAGCGCCGAGCAGTGTTACATTTGGTAGCACTTCTTGGTTATTGACTGTCTTTCTGAGCGGTTGTGTGGTCGTGAAACTTAGCATCACGCAATTCCTCCATCGGTTGGGCTGGACTTAATCTCTCCGGAGTTGTTCCGCAATCGTCGTAAGGAGTAGACATTGCAGCTGAGGTTCCGAATCCATACGCAGTCTTAGATTAATCGGTCGATGACGCGCAAAAACGCGTGTCCCTGAGGTTCCTTGCACCACTGATATCGCCGACCTTTTTCCAGCCAGTTACGCAGATACAGTGTGTAAATTGCGCCAAGACCTTTACCGCTTAACCGACAATCAGCGCAAGGTAATTATCCGGCTTCGTCAACTTATACCCGAAGCAAGCAATTCGGACGCTCGAAATAGCCTGCAGTTTATTACAGACCTGGCTGTTCAAGAAAACACAAGCATCGAATCTGTAATCCTTGCAGCTACCGACCGTCAAGTGGCCAAATACTGCGAAATACGAAGAGAAAAGGCCGAAGAACGTAAAAAGGATAAAGAAGACAGCGAGCGAGCAAAAAAGAAAGTAAAGAAAGAGTAGAAATTCAGTAAAAAGGAGAGAGAAAACAAAAAGAAAAAGAGAGAAAAAGGAAAAGAAAAGAGAAAAATACAAGAGACAATGGAACAAATACTTCAAACATTGCTACAACAAATTGAACGCCAAGAACGCATAATAGAAGCAGTCGCGCAGACACAATACATGCAAGTCCATGCCCTGCAAGCAGGAAATGAACGCGCTGCTCGAACACAAGAAGTCAAAGTAGAAGGCCTTACAATGCCCAAGTATCACGGAAGAATGGATAAGAGTATCAGCCTCTATATACATCAAGTCAACACCTTTTTCAAGGCAAAAAATTTGAATCCTCAGCAAGA